TAACCAGCTTGTAAATGTTTGGCTCATTTAACAAGGATGACGAATACTACTTTTGTTTTATGTTGGAATTATTCTGTTTTACAGTAACCTTAATGAATTTAAACCAAATTCAGGGTTATATTTTCCAAAGTTACTGGGAACATTCCCCTCCATTGCAACCGTAGTAGCAAGACACATGCAGGTGCCAAACCTCAGGTGTATCCGAGCGTTAGATGCTAAGGAGCATGGTGGCTACAGGGGAACCACACCAAAAACCTACAATGCATAATATTACAATGTACATTCAGTCACTGTACATACGTAAGACAGCCTGGTGATACATGCTTTTGAATAATCACATACCCTCAAAGCTGTTGTGTCATTGTTTTATGTACATAACCCAGAAGTGGTATATGAAGATTATTGGAAATTCATGTTTATATTGGGCAAATTACAATAGATTGTGATTGTCTCATTTGTTCTAGACTTGAGATATTAAGTCTGAAGAAAAAAGTCATTTATACTCTTTTCAATGTGCCCTCTTGTACATATTGTGAACGCATGAATAAATGGTGTTATAAATTTTAATTAAGTTCTTTTATTTTTTTAATAAAATATGTACATGGTGATTTGGTTAATTAACTAATCGTTACAGGGGAATAATTGTTAAGATATAAACAAAGCCAGAGAACTGTTCACAAGGGCGGTGATAGGAACCAGAAGCCCGAAGTATTTAACACATCTAAAAGCTACCTCACATAAAGCTACTACACTAAATGATTATAAAAATGCTGCCTGATACCTCAGACATTGTTTTACAACAGTTTTATGATAGAACCTTAAAAATATACTTTTTAGTAAATCCATTCATGATGGAAAGACACATGCAGGGTGTTCTAAAGCAAAAGAGTACCCAAAGAAAACATTGTTTTTGTGTTTATTACTGGTTTACCATTATCAGCAATGCTAAAAACTCAGAAGACATGTAGGTTCACTGGTTAAATAAAATTGCTGTATTTGGATTTCACCTTTAGGCCAATCACAGGTGTAGTGGCCTCTTCTGGTCTGTTAAAAACAACCTGGACAAGGGTAGAGTTTTGTTAGTGTTTTTCAGACCTGTTTCTTGGCTCCTGGACCCAGGTAATCTATTGTCTGTATTCCAGTGCTGAACAAGTATGCATGTGATGAACTACAGCAGCATTTCCCAACCCTGGTCCTGGCTCACCAACCTTCAGCAAACGGACAATGTGGCTGCAGATTTTCATTTCAACCAAGCAGGCGCACGCCCATATAACTATATTGGTCACATCATATCATAAGTGATCAGTTGGCTGAAGACTGAGACCAACTGGTAAAACAAATGGAATCAGGTGTGCTTTTGCTTGGTTGGAATGAAAACGTGCATCAAAAGCAACACTTTGTGGACAAAATTGCTGACCCCTAAGCTAGAAAGCCTCTGGGCCAAAATTTCAGCAATATAAATCCCACAGCATTGTTTGCCCCCTAGTGGCTATCCTTTAAAGTAAGCAGAAAAATAAAACCTGTGGAATCATACAGTCTTAAATGTGTACAGCAATACAGTCCATGCCCAGCTTAAGCCCGATTAAGACACTTTTAAGACACAACTATTCCAATTGGCTAACTTTTAAGGCCCATTTCAGAAAACAGAAAGGCCCATCTCACTTCTGACTTGCAGCATCAGAAAGCTGTACCATTATAAAGGAATCACAGGAGATACTACACACCCTCTATGTTTTAAATTTCTGTACCACATTAAACCACAACATAGGGAAGATCAAGAGATAGTGACATCTATTTCATAGTCTCAGGCAGCACAAACAGTTCTCTGTTGCAGTACATGTTTAGGCTCATTTAGCCTAAACCATTCAGCACATGCAAAACTGTTTTCTGCAGAGTAAGAATACCCTCAAATCATATGCCTATTTTAAGGACACAACAGCACCACTCATCTCTGGCCTCTGCAGGTAAAATATAGCTTGTTAACCTTTGGCACCTATTCAATTGAGCTGTGATGTCATAAAGGTAAAATGGATGAATGGCACCAATTCAATAGTACTACAAGCTAACCTGACTACAGGTCACTAATTATTTAGGGCATCTACATATCGCTGTTGTCAGAAGAAAACCTCCATTTTTGATGTTTTTCAGTTTTTGACATAATTTAAAAATGCCTGTTGCCCTTTACATTGTAGGTAAATTTCATGATGAATGGACTAAAAAAATGACCTAAAATTACTTGCAAAAGAGTCTGAATCCATTGACTTACATTAAAAGTAAAGTAGATTTTTTCCTTCTATAAAGTTATCATTTTGGAGATACGAGGTTTTCTTCCAACAACAGCGATATGATGACTGGCATCATCATATCGCTCATGGTGCTTCATCATGCTGGAAGTAGCCATTAGAAGATGGTAAATTGTGGCCATGAAGGGATGCACATGGTCAGCAACAATACTCAAATAGGCTGTGATGTTAAGTGATGATTGATTGGTATTAACGGGCCCAAAGTGTGCCAAGAAAACATTTCCCACACCATTACACCACCTCCACCAGCCTGGACTGTTGACACAAGGCAGGTGGGTCCATGGATTCATGCTGTTGGTGCCAAACTCTGACCCTATCATCTGTGTGCCTCAGCAGAAATCAAGATTCATCAAACCACTCTTCCACTGTCTAGTTTTAATGAGCTTGTGCACACTGCAGCCTTAGCTTTCTATCCTTGGCTCACAGAAGTGGTCTTCTTCTGTTGTATTTCATCCGCCTCCAGGTTCGACATGCTGTGCATTCCGAGATGCTTTTCTGTTCACCATAAATGTACAGAGGGGTTCTGAGTTACTGTAACCTTTCTGTCAGCTTGAACCAGTCTGGCCATTTTCCATTGACCTCTCTCATCAACAAGGCAATTTCATTTGCAGAACTGACGCTCACTGGATGATTTTTCTTCATTGCACCATTGTGAGCAAACTCTAGGACTGAAAATCTCAGGAGATCAGCAGTTATTGAAATGCTCAACACTCATGCCATGGTCAAAATCACTGAGATCAGTATTTTTTCCCTATTCTGGTGGTTGATGTGAACATCACCTGAAGCTGCTGACTAGTATCAGCATAATTTTATGTACTGCACTGCTGCCACATGATTGGTTGATTAGATGACTGCATGAATGAGCAGGTGTATGAGTGCTTGGTGAGTGCATATTAATTATTTATCATTTAAAAATCTTAAATGGGTAGTTAGATGCTAGCGGATGTCTTTTTTGCACTGGGGCTTTTGAGATAACATAAGACCCCACTGACCACTATTACTTCTCTGCTGAGTCAGACAACCATCAGCTGAGCCTCTGGTCTGTGTTTTAAGTTTCTACCAAAAGTGATTACAGTTCATTATATAAATATTATTTTTCATTGGTAAATTGAACCAAATACTTTTAAAGTAGGGTACACTCACAAGCAGTGGCATGAAGTCCTTACTGGACCCTTGTTTTATCACTACTTAGGCAATTTTATACCTATGACTCCGGAGAAGCTATGATATTCAGTATTCAACCACCAGCCAACATTAGAGCACAGACAGCAACAGACCTTTGAGATTGTGCATCATTTTGTTCTCAGCAGCATCCCTGAATAAGGAATTCTGGGTCTAAGATGTTTTTGCCTATGGGAAAAATGCAAAAATTGCTGGCATCACACTTTGTGGTATTAGTATTCATAATTGCACTATTTTATTCATAATTGGAATATTTTTGTTTATCACAGGGTGCGATAATGCTGGAACATAAATTCCCATAGGAATTATGCCAGTGGTTAAAAGGTTCCAGACAATTTGCATTCAATAGACCTACACAGTTTCAGAAAAGGCAATGTGGTAAGTCTTCTTGAACATTTTAGTTAGGAATTGATTGTTAAATTTCAGCATGGATGTAACATGGACATTTTATGTAGCTAACAGGTTCAAGTGTATGTTGGTCATCTTCTCATATTCCTTTGGGAAACTCATTGCCCTCAATGCCAATTTTGACAGATATTTCTCAAGATTCAACTTAAAGACTCTTTTTGTACCATAAAGTTTTGCACACATGGATGCACCAGAAACATACTACAATATATTGTCACTATGCCAACTAAAACTTTCAAAAGTTTTATCTTTAAAAAAAGAAAAAGCATTCTTAACTTTGAATTGAAGTCAATGGAACAAGATCAGTTAATATTGTAACATATTGCTCAATTCATTATGAAATTTTAATTTAATTTAGTCATCAAGCATTTTGGAAAAAAACAACAACACAAAAACAGGGACAAGGTTTGTTCTGATGGCAATGAAAATAAAATATATTGCAATTTATTCTTTAATATTTTCTTTCTTAAAACTAAATTTGTCAGTGTTCAGCCTCTTTCATCATATTTATTTTGATGTATATGTTTTTACGAATTTAGGTTGGAAAGCTCGTCTGGTTCAAACAACATAGAACTATATTCAATGAATTGTTTTTACATCTATTCACCAGACTTTTTTGTGTCTTCTTTGTTTCTGAGTCTGTTAAAGTTGTAACGTATAGGTTGTTCACACAGATGTGCTCTATACAAAGTTTAAGTTTTCATTTGGAGCAGAGGTGTGTAGGTTGTTTGTATATTAAAAATATTAATCTGTGTCCTGCTCTCCTCTACATTGATTTAGTAAAATGTGGTTGATCTAAAAAAGACATATCTTCTTCACATATTTGCCCTCACATGTGATATTAAAATATTCACCATTATGGCATTCACTCCTCAGTCTTAACGTCAGTCAGCAAATAAAAATGATAAGGGAATATTCTTATATCTAAAAACTGGGCCACACATGTTAACCGCATTTAAACGGACGGGCTTTGTTGTTCTTACTGTGTCTATCAGCTTCCCTGCTATCATTTCCAAAGCCTGGGCACCATTTTCTCAGGACGCTCTTGGAATCCACACGGCCGTGGGCAGGGGCTCGAAGATCGATTGCTCAGGACTGCCGCATCCCTTCTACGAGAGGTTGACATCAATAGTCTTTCTCCAGAGCTCGTCCTTACGGTGAAAATGGGCTATTAAAGGAGAAAACATTTGAAGAAGGAGGTGCAGATAATATGATGTGAGTGTAAACATGGTTTTTGGCATCTTCAGGTCGAGGTGTATTTAACACACGTAACTGAATTTGAGGTTTTTCCCTGTTGGAGCAGGTGCATTTCGATGATGTGATTTTTTATTCGTGTTGACTGTATTGTTCCTTAATAAATATATATATATATATATATATATATATATATATATATATATATGTATATGTTGGACACACCAGGTCGTATTTTGTGCTTCATGGTGGTCCAACGAACGAACCATTTTTAAGTTTAGTGTTTTGCCATTTTAATTCGGAAAGTCCAGACGATGCTCGTCGTTTGCTTGAACAGACGGATGCTGCTGGTGGTGTTGGGCCTCTTGCAGCAGCAGCGGCCCGTACACATAGTCGAGGACGGAGAGAAAAAAAACACGATATAGTGATTTGGATCTGAGAATTTCCGTCCGGTTTTGGGTTTTATTGCGAACCGGGGGTGTGCTCGTTCTTCAGAAGCTGTGGTCTTGAGTTGCTGGGATTACAGCTGCTCGCAAAATAGCAGCTGTACTGACTGAGCGCTGAGCTGTGCTGGTGCTGTGTTGGCCTGGCTGGCCAGGCTCTGTACAGTAAGTTAGCGAGATAACATGCCATAACATTTTATTGACCCTAGTTTAAGGACACATATCCCCTACATTATTTGTATTGTTTGTTGTATTGTTCATTTTAACGTGAAGTGTGTGTCAGTATGTGTCAGTGTGTTGGGGTAATGACTCTAGTTTAAGCCCCCTCTACATACTGTCTTTTACAGTAGGTAGATAGCACACACTAGACTGTGTGTGTATGTATCTGTGTGTGATTGTGTGACCCTAGTTTAAAAAACATTTAAACCCTAAATCTCAAACTATCATATTACTATAAAACATGTAAGTAATACTAGGTATTACTTACAAGTTTTATAGTAGTTACTAAGTAATTTATAGAAATTACCAAGGACTTTATTATGTCTTTATTACAGATAATATTTATATTGTATTGATATCAACAGGTAATTGTTTTAACAAGTCACCAACATAGTAGGCCTACGGATGTTTAGATTTGATCAATATTTCAAACCGATATTTGATATGTGTTTATATGTGCTCCAGAAAAGCAAAATGTTTAAGCAATACTGGGCTAATATGTCAATATGTCTGCTGTTTATTTATTTTACTGCTTACCCTCTACAAGTAAGTTTTACATTTCTGTGTAATGCTAATCCTGCTGGACTGAATCCTATTTTCTATATTTTATTTATGTATCAGCATCAGCAGTTATGTACAGAAAAATATTGTTATCGGCCCAGAATTTCCATATCAGTGCATCCCTAGTTTTTTAAATTCATATTTAATACTTATCATATTTTAAGATTAATAACAATAATAATTTAACATTCAAGGGTTTAAAGCCCCCCCTTGACATGCAACAGATGAACTCCGAGAAATCCTCACTTTGAAATACACAGTTTACAGTGTCAGTATCCAGTGGGCCTAATTTTTAGACTTTCTGTAACGAATACTCCTTCTGTTGTAGTGTTCTTCTGGTTGGTTCAAAGAATATATAAAAAATGTAGACTTTTATATAGGTAGAAAATTAGACACCAGTTTGTGTATATTTAAAGTTTTCCTTTTTGAACCTGCTTGGCTAGCCCTGTTTCCCAAACAACAATGCTGCGATTGGTTTGGAAGGATAGTGACCCTGTAAAGGACTGTGAGAAAGGAGAACTTTTCAGATATAAGATGATCACTTTTGCTAACAGGTGAAGTAATCACAGTTGTGCACACAGCCAAACAGAGATGCTCTGTTCAGTTCTTCAGTGAAATTTGACCTGATCAAGAATTCCCAATGCGAATAGAATAAATTGCATGTGCAGTACAGTGCAGTTTGACAGAAGAATAAACAGTTTCATGGGCAGTGTTAGCATTCCGTGAGTGTTTTTAGAATTTCTGCATTATTTATCATTAAAATGTAAATAGAGTTGGAGTGGTTTGGTGTAAAATGCTCCATTCTGGAAAAACTTACTGAGTCAGATTTGTTCAGAGTGGTGGTGATAGAAACCAGACGTCTAAAGTGTTTAATGCCTCTAAAAGCTACCTCAAATATTTTTTCAAATTTCAAATAGCTTTATGAAATATTATGAAATAGTTAAGAATAGTTTGCCTCCTGGACTATAGAGATTTTTACAATCCTCCATCGTGGAGGGATACCCAAAGAAATGTTTTGTTCAACATTACTCAGAAGACATGTAGGTTCAGTGGTAAGTTTCTTTATAAGAAACAATTTCACATGAAGAGTGAGTTTGTTTACATCTCAACAGTTGGATTATGTAGAGATTTTAAAAAATCAGTGGGATTACCCTTTAAAGGATAGGGGTCCAAAATATTAAAAAACACAGTAAAAGGTGGTTGAATATGTGCCATGTATTCAAATGATAACATTTGCATCATACACACATCATAGATGCGTGAACACAAGAAGAGTGACAATGCACATAATTTCAGGTCCAATTCAAGTTTCAATTCAATTTGCGATATTTCATGTTTGTATTGAGCTCTTTTTATACACTACACAATTGTTTCAGATAAATAATGGGCTCAAATAGAACATTTTCGCCATCATAGCCTTCTAATATATTAAGAATCATACAGTCCTAGAATTTATCGTTGATTTATAAAAACAAGTCAGCTGAGTGTGGGTGCCTCTTTACTCCCCCTCCCTACCCTCTTTACTCTGATGGGCTGCACCTCGATGCCTAGTTTTGATCTTTGACAGTAGTTTCTATGAAAGATGATAAATGAGACGTACAGGAGGGGTGTATCGACGATAGTTTTAAATTTTGATACACTGTTTAAAATTAGATTATGTAATTGTTAGGAAATTGTTAAACACATACTGATGAACATCTGATGTGTTAAGCACAGATATCTATTAGGACTGCATAAGAGGTCTCATTTGCTGAGTTGCACTGTTACAATTGAAATAAAATTGAATGCCCGTTGTGCCCATATGGTAAGTGTTGTGTTTTGAAAACATTGCTTTAATGATTAAAATATTTGGAGGAATTAAGATATTAAGAGGGGACATGCAGCGGAAATATGACGTACGTCAGACTGTATTTACTCAGAGGACTGAACAGCCAATCAGAAACTGATGCAGTAAAGTAAAGAAGACTTGACAATTGTAGGAACAAAATATTTATTCAGTATTCAAAGCTGATACATTTGGTTCTTTTCACTTGCTTCTATAAACCGAGGAAGCGATTATCCACTTATGCAAATTCCTTACAGAACACAGGCAACAGAAATGTCTGCATGCATGCATTGAGTCATGGGATGATGCTTGAGCTGTCACAACTAGCACATAAGATGTAAGAATTGGCCAGCTTAAAATATAACAAAATGATAAAGAATCTCCAACTCTCTGTCTTAGAGAGTGTCTTTTCCACTGTTATTTACCTGATTAAGTTAGAAAAAGGTTTGATAGCTGGATAATGAGACCGCTGGATTAATTTGATAGCTGGATAATGAGAATGTTAGAACAAAGAAAACACTAATCTGTGCTGAATCCTGGCTTTCCAGGTTCAGAGACTTGGAGAACTGTGATCTGTGCTGACCACTGTTTGTTCAATGATAAGCTTCTCCCTCTGCCTCTACAGGACTCCATGGATGTGCAACACCAGGTGCCCCCCAAGCTCTAAAGACTGGATGGCTAACAGAGGAGAGAGACAAGAGAGGAGAGACAGCTGAGTTGGTGGCAAGGAAAAGGAACTGAGACTTCCTTTGGCCTGGTCCTGAGCGAGTCAGAAGGATGAGCCACCAAGTGTTCATAATGCAAAGCATGTGTATGAGTATGTGGGGGCTCTTACTGCTGTGTGCCACAACGTGGGCATCAGAGCCGATAATTGTGGAACTAGAAGCCTCCATGCACTCGACTCTCCTCTCGGACATACATTCATCCTTATCCAGAGTGGCAACAGCACAGTCCTCTGTAGTTACAGACTCTTCGGCAGTGGTGGGCCAGATGTTCTGGATGAAGATCCCGTTGGTGTCAGCAGACTGCCATGGCATAGACATTGTAAGTTCCTGAGTTCCACACTTGCAACACGCAACCTTTTAGCAAGAAGCTGGTGGTCTGAGTGGTTCTGTTAACCATCCATGGCTCTAAACTACAAGAATACAGTGCTTGAGGTGATTATGTGTTCAGTAGGTGGGCAAGATAGCAAGTGTTCTATCTCCACTGTTACTTTACTCAGTGTGCCAATTAATCTTCTAGGTTAGGCAGGCCTGAACAGCATTGTAAAGGCTTTTGAATATTCATTGTTATTTCCAAATGAGTACTCGAATGCTTGTTCTTGAAATAATCCTTAAAAACAATGATATTTATGTTCTATAATTAACTACATTTTAAGTATTTCCTCACTGCAGTTCAAAATATATCCAGTAGGTGGCAACAGTGCTTGTGCGCTTAGTTGCTATGATAGGTTTCACGATTTATGCCTTTTTGTTTAATAAAACTTTCATAAATCACTTCTATCACTTGTATATAATTTATGACCTACTTATATTTTTGTTTTTGAGTCGTTTTTATTCATTTTATTGGGTTATTTTATTTGGCTAGTCTGCCATTTATCATGGAAAGCAGTACTGAGGTTGACACACGGACCAGCTTGAGGTCAGTCATAGCCAGGTTGAGATGAGTCATGTATCGGTCCTCGACCTAAAGAGTCGCTAGCTAGAGTGGCTTAAGGTAACTTCAACTCGGTGCCAGACTTGTCTGCCTGACAGTGACCACAGCGGAAGTGTTCAACACTTCCAGATCTCACTTTGCTTGCTGAATTTACTTGCTTTGCTCTCTTTTATTTCTCTCCTCATGTGCTGATTCCAAACTCTCTCACGACCAACAGCTGATGCTGATTTAGCTTGTTAGCATGTTAGCATGTTTAGCCTGACAGCATCCAATTGCCAATAGTCAGCCCTCAGACCCCAAGTGTCTGGTGTGTGTATTTTGTCTTTGTGGGATAGCTAGTTGCGGAGGTTTTCACGATTTTAACTCTCTTCTCTAAAATTTCTGACACAATGTGTAAGAAAGTCATAACACGTATAATATGTACTTGGCTTAATACTGCTTTGATGTGTTATCTGGGAAATGGTGTGTTTAGTGTGGTGTTTTTGCACATTTGAGAAATGGCAATACCCAGAAAGCATATGAGTGTGCACACAAGTACATAAAACCATAAGTGTGAAATGTGGCACAAGGGCTGTTGTGTTTCTTCTAAATTTGAGTTGAGCTGTGGACATTGAGGTTTTTCCTCATACTAAACAGCACAGGTTTTTCATCTGCTAATATTAATGCTTGCCACAGCCCCTCCCCACACAAATTAAAGTTTATTTAGTTCAGCTAGTTGAGCTAGCATATTTTGCAATTAATAGGCTACACTTTAGATTTTATTTAATTATTTCACAGAGCTCACCAGCAGCCCAGAGGAAGTTATCAACATCAGCGCTAGCTAGCGAGGTTAGTTCCCCTGTATGTTCAGTGGTTGCTGAGGTAAGTGCCATTGCACCTCTGTCTTCAGAGTCAGAATCTCACAGCACCACCATGTACTATTGAGTGAACTGCAGTGCTTCTTCTAGGTTTTTTCAGCAGCGGTGGAAGGCCAGACCCCCCTACCCCCGAGGACCAGACCAAGATCAAAACCAACCCCCATTCATTCAGCACTTTGGCCTCAACTTGGCTCTGATTGTTCACGCAATGTTCATCCACTTCCTGTAACCGTCAATTCAATCTGAAAGCCCTCTGCAGAGTTTTGTAATGGCAACTTCATGAAATTTCATAAAATTATGAAGCATAATTTATAAGTTATATTTATTTAAGTATATATAGCAGAAACAGTGAACTGTGACTATTTTTTGTTGCTTGTGCCATGGCCAGTTATTTGCACTTGCGCTGCCTGCTTTCGTGGGTATTCTTATGGTGCCATGGCTATGCAGAGTGAAATCCCACACAGTCCTGATCAGAGCAGCTTTAACTTTGTTTCCAATCTTATTTTATTTACCATTAGCAGTCAGAAGTCAAATATTCTTCAAATCATATATTTGACTGCCCCTTTAAAATAGGCCATTCCTACTTTCTTGTGACTGCTGGATAGTACTTTTACAGTTACCTAAATAAATTAAGTAAAAAAAAAAAAAGACTAAATGAAAAAAAGAAGTTTAGGCAGGAAAATACCTTTAGAAAGTCACTTATCCATGCCTTAGGATGGATGGACGGACAGATGGATGGATGGATAGATAGATCGATAGATAGATTTTGATTAGCAAGACTAGCAGTTCAAGGCATGTGGCCTTGTGGCAAGCCACACTGTGTTTGAGACAATAATCCCAATTGTTGATCCAGTTTTAAACTCTCAATAACTAGAGATTTACTAAATCTCTGAACACAATTACAACAGGCTAAACATTAAGCCCAACATGAAAGATATTATCAGCTCAACAAAATACAAATGCTGACAAATTTTATTTTTTCAAAAAGTGAGCTGTACATTTGGACATTATGGACATTAAGAATCCCCCTTTCCCAGGGTCAGTACTATTAGATCAGTGTACAATGTAAAGTCATAGAAGTCACATGTAAGTGTTCACTGTGGCAGAACATAATGGGCAATGTTGTTCCCTGGAAAATATGGCAGCATCGTCCTCTATTCTACAAATAATTCTACAGGTTTGCATAAATCAAATGTTCATCTTTCTCCATTCAACAATGCTGCCACATTACAAGAGCTTTGTCCTCCCATATTGTACTGATTTGTAATTGTAGACAATGTGACTGCATTGTCATGACGGGAAATCTTCTGTCCTTTGAGTCAATCAAGGATGTAGAACAGAACTATGTGTTTACTGATTACTGATTTACTGATTTCTTTTTCTCTTTCTCTCCCCCTTTTCCACTCTTTACAGATCTCTGAAGTTGCCAGTGCGCCATTCCCTTCATGGCTATACTGGGACAATGAGCTCTGTCTTCTTCAAGGTTTACCACTAGAGGGGGATAAAGGTCTGTATCGTTTCAGCTTGTCTCCAGCAGGATTGCAAAGTCCTGACGGCAGTATGCAGAGCCACCTGCTTCTCAGAGGAATGAAACTAAGCAGTGCATACACTCATATAAGCCAACCAGAAGTCTTCACGATCACAGTAAACTCTGAAGACCAGCAGGAGATAGAACCCACTCCATTGGCACTGCATACAGAGACTAATGCAACAACAGTGTGCGTCTGTTCAAGTAGCCAGCCAATCACTGGGCTAACAATAATCCTGGATGCCGACCTCACAAAGATGAACTCCAGGGAGCGACTGACACTGCTACAGAAAATGAGTCACTTTGCTAGTGTGCCGCCGGAGCTGATGCGAGTCATGCCTGTTATTAACAACCGTTTTTTTGACATGACTGCTTTCATGGCTGGTCCAGGCAATGCCAAGAAGGTGGTGGAAAATGGTGCGCTGTTATCATGGAAGCTAGGCTGTGCACTTGATCAGAGCAACCTACCTGATATTAGTCAAGTACAGTTGCCAGCCAAGGATGGCACTATGTCAACTCTGCTAGGGTATCCAGTGGTTGGCTGGTACATTGTCAATAAGAAACCACAAGTGGTCAAGCGAATCAGAAGACAGATCCACAACACTCCAACCCCGGTGCCCTCTCAACTACCCCCAACCACTCATCTAGAACCTGCGGAGCGCATTGTGCCAACCCCCTCATCCCCTTTCATTGCTCCCACTACAGATCTATTGGCAAATCCTGCTCGCGGTCCTTTGCCCTTGCCAGTCAAACCTACCATTCGGATCCGTGATCAGGTGGCATACACACCTGTCTTAGGCCACCCGCTGCCCACTCGAGTTTTGGGCAGCACCAGCACTCTCCCCTTGCAACCAACGCTGACCCGTCTTGGTTACGTGGAGCCTACCGCTTTGGTTACTCCGCCAACCACCCGCAGACCAAAGACCTCCACCACAAAAAAGGGCAAGAAACAGAAGACCACACCCATGCCTAGAGAGCCAAAAACAACAGTTAAGCCTTCCAGACGCACCACCCCCTTGACCAACCAGAAACCTCAGCTACATAACCCTATTGATGAAGTGAATGTGTGGGTTGGAACGTACTTTGAAGTAAAGATTCCAGCGGACACATTCTTTGATCAGGAAGATGGAAGCACTGAAAGGTTGCGGCTGTCACTGCGCCAGAGTCACAACCAGGTAGTGGATGAGGGATCTTGGATCCAATTTAATAGCACCAGTCAACTACTATACGGCCTTCCTGATGAGAGCCACGTTGGCCGTCATGAATTCTTCATGATGGCCACAGATAAAGAAGATTCTAGCACCACAGACGCCTTTGAGGTTCATGTTAATCGCTGGCCAATTGATGACCAATCACCAGTTGTGTTTACTGCTCGTTTTCAAGGGGAACCCAAAACATTGACCAGTGACATCCATAAGAAAATTTTATTAAGCAAGAAACTTGCCTCTGCACTGGGTGATCGCAACAGCAGTGCTGTCACTCTAAGAAATATCTCCAGGGGTTCAATTCTGGTGGAGTGGACAAATAGCAGCATGCCTAAGAACCCTTGCCCACGTGAGCAGATTCAGGCAATGTGCCGCAGGATTTCAGATGCTCAGGGTCATCCCACTCCCGTCTTCAACAGTGCCATGGAACCAGAGTTCAAACCCATCAACATCAGTGTTCGTGGTGCCAACAAATGCCAAAGGTTCTCATTTGTGCCACCAGGGGAAATCTCTGTCCCTGTCTCTTCAGCAGAGAGTCCCATTCCAGTGTCAACCTCAGTCACGCCTTCATCTGGCTCTGGCCGGCGTAGCAGCGATGACGTTTACTTACACACAGTTATACCTGCTGTAGTGGTGGCTGCTCTGCTGCTCTCTGCTGGTTTCATTGCCATGGTTTGCTACCGAAAGAAACGGCGTGGAAAATTAACCACAGAGGAACAGGCCACCTTCATTAAAAAAGGTGTCCCTATCATTTTTGCAGATGAGTTGGATGATGCCAAGTCTCCACCTTCCTCCAGCATGCCATTGATCTTGCGTGAGGAGAAGCCTCCTCTGCCTCCTCCTCAGTATCCCAGCTCCGCTTGCGGTGAAGGGTCGCTGCTCAACCACCACATCCTAGAGGAGTACATCTCCCTCAGTGATGATGACCCTAGTGCTCCCCCCTATCAACCTCCCCCTCCTTTTACTGTTCCCATAGAGGGCAAAGGTTCCCGACCTAAAAACATGACAGCCTACAGGTGCCCTCCACCCTATGTGCCCCCCTAGTAAATGACTGGACCTCTCGCAGTGGAGGACAAAAGGACTTTAGTAGACATTTTAAGTGGAAATAAAATAGTGTGAATATGGACTATATAAATTGACTGGCTGCGTGTGTGGACAAAGCCCTTGATTGCAAGGCACGCTGGATTATTGTGACTCTAAATGACTGAGCAGTGGCTCCACGCTCCAGTCCATAAAACACTATACTACTGATCCAAAATCTACAATACTTAGACTGAAATGTCAGTACTTAAATCTCTGACTCATTTGAAATTTCTGAACCAGTTACTATGGAGCAGTAAATGGGGCATACGGGTTCAGAATGACTGAAGCTCATATTCACTAACACTCTTTGGGAATTACTGGCTCTAAAGCACTGAAACAGCTACTGCCACTGAGAGTCACTTAATCAAACTGTAAGCCACTTAGGCAGAGCTACGGAGCAGAGATTTATATGAGGCACCGCTAAGAATACATTTGGTGTCTGTATAGTCTGTGTTTCTGATTTTTTTTATAATGATCTTTTTTAATGTCTTTACTTGCCTGGAAGCAACATTTATATGGAGTATTATGTTTCTATGTCATACGAAACAAAAGCAAACTGCTGGCTATATCTATTTGATCATAGGCAGCCTTATAGGCAGATAGAGACATTTGTTAGTGTAAATGAATCATTCAGCCTAATATAAAATTTGTTTAACCTTTAAATGCATTGCAGATCAAAACCCACCATCAAATTTGACCATCAAACCATTTCAACAATTGTCCTGTGCTCACTGTATAAATCAATCTGCAGATTCAACTGCTGAACACGATGGTGGCCTATGACTACTTGTAATTTGATCTAGATCTGCTTTTTTGTTTGAAAGACTTTTTAAGGCTAGCATGTTTCAGACACACATCACTGAACAGTAGGTAACCAGTGCACTCTGGATAGAAATTGTTTCTGGATATAAATTAGCCCAACATTTTGCTTATAATTAAACCTTCTATGGCTCTAGCGTCAGTGTAAGAGATTTTTCAGTTCCCACCACATTTTGTAAACAGACTGCCCTTGATAATTCTTGGAATCATCACTCACCATCATATTGTTATTATTCTTTAGACAACAAGGACTCCAGTGAAAGCATTGCGTTGCTTCTGACTGCTGTATCAAGTGTTTCCTCCTCTTTGTTGTAATGTGGCATTGCATTGCGTGTTTGTATATAATTGTGTGCCTGCTCCACCCATGGGATCAATAATACTACAGCACTAGAGTAGAACAAAAAAAAGGATTTTATTTTACAAACATTTCCAAGAGATATGACTACTATATTCTGAAAACAGAAATGCAATATTTTACTGAATCTGATCTAACCAGGATGTGTATTAGCCCTTGTGCTGTGAATGTTTTGGAAAGAGTGACGAGCCGAAGGAGATTCGTGTTAGATAAATAATGATTAAAAAAATGACCACATGGAACAACTGAAATAATTCAGTCTAATGTTTTTACTACGTTTTTGATACGTCTGAAATTGTTTATGAAAAATATATTAATAAAGCTGTACTAAAAATTGTTAATGGTGTGAGAATTATGATATGCTATAGTAAAATATCCCAGCGAGTGATATGACATTCAGTAAACTCAGCAGGCCAACATATAATTAAACTGGGCTAGTGTAAAGTTAGAGACTAACCCATAGATAAACCTACATTAATGCCGCATTGTCTGTTGTTCTCTACCAGATGGCAATAGGTATGCACGTCCGCCATGTTGAAGTGGTCAAGAGCTGCTTGTAAACAAATACACGTGTATTGCAAGAAGAGTTCTCATGAAGAAATTGGCCATAATTTCTTATTACTATGGGTGGGGGAAAAATCGATTCTTAGATGCATCGCGATGTGGACGTGGACGATTCTGAATAAATTCACAAATGTCAAAAATTTATTTTTCTAAATTTTTATTTATAACATAATGTTGACAGAACGCAAAAGGAGGAACTTGGAAGTGCATCTCCCGGACAGTGGCAGCACATAACAAAAACACAACTGGATGAGCGAGAAATCCGACCGGCACCCTCTGTATTAAAAGCTATGTTAGGTCAGGAGTCAACAACGCAAATGTTAAGAAGAGCCAATTTGTCCTCTCAACAAAAATCAAACCACCTTGGGAGCCACAACATTTTATGTCCAATATGTCTCAGTACGTGCTAATGTCCTAGTATAGGTTAAAAAATATAAACGAAAACAGATTTACTTTGCTCTGCTTTAAGCTTTAGCTTTAGCCACTTTCCTCCCATTTCCGACAAAAAACTTTTCTTCAAAAGTAGAACAGCTTCTTGTAAAATGTCTCCTAACGTTCGACTGCTTTACGAGGCTGAAGTCAGCTTTTTATTCTCCAGCTTCTCGTTTGAATTTTCCCGTTCCACCTTAAATTCTGCCTGAGGCGCCAGAACGTAAATGCGGCACCATTTAAGGTGGAACGGGAGAATTCAAAAAGTTTCAGCTTCGCAGTTGTTTTAGTGTTTGACAGGCTCTCGTTACAAATTTAACGTACTAGGGAACCAACTGCGGTTCTTATAAATGCGAAAAAGTCCATTCGTCTCCAAATGTTCGTCTTAAATTCCTCTCTTTGCTTTTTCATTAGCTGCTAGTTAGGTGAGACTCTCTGCGTTGGTATGTGACCTTCGCTCTGCACGCCAACCTTCAGGGTTATAGGGTGGTGAATTAGCTGCGTTTAAGACCATCTACTGTTAAAACAGCATTAGAACGTGGACAAGGGCCATACTATATGCAAGTTGTGTCACACTAAACTAAAATATTTTGGAAACGACAAACATTAGAAACCATATTACATGTTTCCACCCGTTTTCCATCCGGTTGTAGTTGCTACCAACCAGAGGACCATCGAGCAAGCGATGTCAAAGCTTCCACCCAACTCGGAAGCGAATTACAAACTCTATCGCAACTTTTATTTCCAAGGATTCGTGTCTGTACTCAGTCGTTGAGAATCAGGGCTTTCGCGCTATGTTGCACACTTTGGAGCTGAGATACAGCGTCCTGTCTCGAAGATATTTTACTGACACAGCAACCCCGTCCCCCACTCTCTACAACGAGACCCAAACCTATGTTATGGAATCACTGAATAAAACAGGTAGGATAGCTGTAATGTGATTCGTGGACACCCAATGCCACAGAATTTATGTCACAGTAACAGCGCATTTTATCGCAGATGAGTGGCACCCTGTCTCATGTGCTCCAAACAAGAGCAGTGAATGAGAGTCTTCCAGTTCACTTGCCTCATCACTTCCATTTGATTTACTAATAAAAGATATTGGAAGTAAATTCATTATAGATCATCACAAATACTTTGCTTTAAAAGTACCAAGTCCTTACACACTGAGAAAAAAGAAATCCTGTATAGAAGAAAAAGATGCATCGATAATCGTTCTATAATGCATTGCAGCCCTCTGAATCATAATCAAATCGAATCGTGAGGTGCCTAGAGATTCCCACCCCTACTTATTACTACGATTTTTTACCAAATTTGTGATAATCCTCAGACAATCTAATCTAAACATTCTGGTGCCTGAGGCTGCACCATTTAAGGTGGAACGTGAAAATTCAAACAAGAAGCTGGCGAAGAAGCTTACTTCAGCTTTGTGTAAGAAGGTGCTAATATATTGTGAATATCTACGTGGACTAAGGAATGCTACCTACAATGCTTACTCAGAATTATCACTCATTTTTACTAAATGAATATAACTACTACATCGTGTTAAGTAATCCCCAGTATAGGCTATTAAATGAAATAAGCTTAATATGAATATCAGAGGAAAATCAATCACATGAACAGGTTCTCAGTGTCTCACCAACCACACAGCCATATTTACACATCCACATTACACAAACAATAAACACAAACATGAGTGTGGATCACTGCGTTCTGTCCGTTATAGAATACCATCCCATATTCTGAGTGCAGTATTCTTGAAATAAAATAAATTTGGACAGGATTTTCTTAAACTGCTGCTCTGTAATGGTACCAAACGCAGTCCAGCAGTAATGTTGACGTGCCGGGCTAAACCCAGCGTAGTCATCTATGTATGTGTATCTATGCTGTAACCCTATGGCCATGCTCAGTTTGGGGTAGCCATTATCTGTCTCTTTTATCACTGAATGTATAAGCACTCTTGGCTCAATATGTTTGGGTGACAGACCACACTCACCCTAGCAGTGAATTATGTAAAAACTCCAGCTGTGCCACTGTGCCTGATACACTTGTTCCAGCAACATGCCCAGTACTGTGTCACTACCATGTCAGTGTTACTGTTGTGCTGAGAATGTTCCACAACCCAGACTTGTTAATTGAAGTTATCTCCGTCACATTGAAATGGTCTTATGATCTGATGAATATCTTCCAGCTAGCATGTTGTGCTCAGGCTTTAAGACTAATGCCTGTGGCAAGATTGTGTACAAGATTAGCTAATATATCAGGGTGGTGTTCTGATTTTTTTTGGAGTATTGGCCATTACTGATAACCCTTCATGTACAGCAGTGTAAATAACATTCTAATCTAATAGCACCTAAGAACATGAAGTTAACTCACGTTAACAACCTTTAACCACTTTAGCAACTATGGCAAACTGATGTTTTGGGTAAAGCAAGTGGGAAAAGACCAAGATCAACCTAAAAAACACTTTTTGTGCTTTGTTTAAGCCAACTACAACGCTTTTTTGAAAGATTTTACACAGTGATTTTCAAATGTTTTTGAAACATTAATGTGGCTTTTACGTTTCAGATAATAATAGTTCTGTCCCTATTTTAAGAGAGAAAAAAATAGTCTTCTATGACTGAAAATAACTGCCTGCAGGGTGCAGAGTGCACAGACTTTCTTGTATGGACTACATTCTGCCCTCAGTAGAGCAGGCTGATAGCATGGCAGTTAAAATGAACATTATCAGACAACCTTTAGGATCAAACTTTTACTGAAGTAGTCACTGTAAAACTGTTACATAAAAAAGGAAAAATATGTTTATTGAATTATTGTGCATGTGCAATGACCTAAATCAGGTGTGTTAGATTAGAATTAGAAGGTTTCTAGGAAGGTTATAGATCTCCTGGACCAGGAGTGTGTATTAATTTAGTTTTCCCAGTTAAACATGGCAGAAACCAATACATTGTTTTGCAACATGAACTTGTATCAAGTGTGCTATAATGACTTTCTGAATTAAAAAATGTAACCATTGCAATTATCTTATTATTCTCATTTCTTAAAATGGTCTGTATTTAAGAACAGTCCAGTATCGGCATTGTATAACACACTGGCCACACGTCTCTGTGAGGAACATACTTCACGCAAGCACATGAACGCAAACTATTTGGGCTACACAAACACAATTTTGTGTACTGTGTTCGAAAATATTTGAAAATGCAACTGAACAGTGCAGCAAAGGGGTCTTACAGCAACAGCCACTCCTGGTCAAGCTGTCAAGTAAAGCAGCACACATTCCTCTATGCTGACATGTTCAGTTGTTTACAGGTGCTCTGATTCATCCTCTGACACCTTCTTAAGTACTGAGTATTTTAACCGGCACAGTAATTGAAGAAGGCATGCTGAGTTTGCACAGAAGGACTGTAATATGTTGGCTAGGTGTTGCCATTTGCGTTGCAGTGTGTTTCTGGCCTAAATATCAGTATTGGTCCTTGAACCTTGATCAGTAGATCAATTATGTTAAATAATGTTTTATGACAATATTTATTTAATGAAAATATGCAAAAACAACACACTTGCTAAAAATCTTAAAAGCCAGAAGTAATAAAAATGAATCAGTGGTGGAATGCGGTGGCAAAGGTAATTATTACAGCTAAGCCTTTGGTTTGGGCCATAAATACCATGTCAATGTAATGCTAACTTCTGCTGGCACCCCCATGAGTTTTCTAATAGCATGTTAGTGCTAAGTTAACACTAGTGCACATGAACGTTTATTGGTCATTCTAGGTTAAACAAGGACATTTGAAGATTGTAAAAAACACTTTGTATTGTTGAAGCTTGCTACAGACATTAATATATACAGTCACTGGCCCACTTTATCAGGCTTAATTACCATAAAGGTGCATTCTGTAGTTCTACAATTATAAATCTGTTTCTCTGTGTAATTTGTAAGCCTCCCTTTACCCTGTTCGGCAATAGTCAGAAACACCACAGAGCAGCTATTATTTTGGTAGTGGATCGTTCTCAGCACTGCAGTGACACTGACGCTTACACAGCCAGTGTAGAAGGTCCTGAGGGTTCCCCACTGGTGGAAGGATAGGATGAAGGGATATCAAGTTCTTCTTCATTCTGAAAGCCACTCATAAGAAAGGAATATTATTGTTTGGTCTATAAAAAAAACAATAAACTATTAAAACTGATGTTAATAAAATATGGTACTGTATGGAAAAAAGTGATACAGTATTCATGACCATGAACACCTTAGGACAATGAGTATGACAATGAGGATGGTTTTGCGAGGTGCTGTGAACTGTCCACCACCCAAATAATATCTGGCCAGAGGTGGTCCTATGATTGTCCCTTTCAA